AAGAAATTTAAGGGGCACTTAGGTGGCTCAGTTGGTTAAGCCTCCAACTTGGGCTCAGGTTATGATCTCAGGGTTCGTGAGTTCAAGGCCTGCGTCAGGCTCTGTACTGACAGCTTGGAACCTGGAGCCTGCTTCGGGTTCTATGTCTCCCTCTCTCCCTGCCCTTCCCACACACACACACACACACACACACATACACACACTCTCTCTCTCTCTCTCTCTCAAAAAATAAACATAAAACAATCTTTTTTAAAGAAATTTAAAATAAAACTATCATGATGCTATATTTCATGAGTAATGTCAGAATTCAATCCATAAACATAAGATGAGCAAGAAGAATGAAGAAAACTATGAATTTAGTTTAGCTTGAGTAGGAGCTCATTCCCCCATTCAGTTCCACTTAACTGTATGGGCCACTGTCTGCTCTTCGTTCTAAGAGTTTTTATTAATACCCTCATGAGAATGCCTAGGTAATTACTTCCACATACAAGTCTAAATGTGAAGAGGAAACTAAAGGTAACTCCATTGGTCTCTGGTATTACAGAACCCATCCCCAAACTGCATGTTCAATTGCTATAATTATAGCTGTGTCTATTCAACAACCGTCAACGGATTGGGGCACAGGCAGGACGACGTATCCATTCGGGAACAAGGCACTGATGACCGACATGTTCCTAAATTACTCGAAAGTAAATGTCGCTTCTGGCCATCTCCTTACTTCCACTTCTTATGACAAATCTGGTTTGACCTTAGTTCTTTGACTTTCACAACGTGACGCGAGTACTGAGCGTAAGCAGATCACAAGTATGGCACAGAGCTGTGAGGTAAAAGAATTCTTTCACATATTTCCCTAGAATTCCTCCAGGTTTCAAGTGGCTGCCCAAAAATCAAATTATTTCCACTTCTTTTTTTTTAAACGAATCAAAATATATATTCTTCGGTTATCATGATGCGTTTCTCCCCCAGTAGAGATTCAAATCAATTAAAGAGCTACTGCCTCCAGACTGAGTTGCCCTCTGCCCCCCGCCCCCCGCCCCCTGAGCCACTGAAGAGACTGAAATGACTCTGGATCAGAACAAAGGGGGATAAAGACATTTCGACACAATGAGAGTAACAAGACTTGAGTGCAGTGCGAATGTAAAATTTAAGAAATCATTTTTCTTGTGACATGCAACTAAACGCCCAATCTCACTATTTCATCAAGACAAGTCTAACTATCCTTCCTTAAGCAACACCCCTTACGTTGCTGCTGCCTATTTCTGACTCATTTTCTCCCTCAAGCCATGATCTGACATCTCTTTAAATCTAATTTCACCCACATAAACATACTGTGCACAGGGCACAAACGGATGTGTTCTTACTGACATCACTCCCTAGAAAGAGCAGTGATTTGCTGAACTGAATACATATTGAGAGTAATCTGACACAGACATTAACAACATTAACTCAAGAATGATACGAGAAAGGACAGATGTCAACATGTATGCAATGGGACAGCAGATCCAGAACAATAATAAAATATCTTTGAAATGCCCGCTAGGTTTCCCTGCAGTAATAACCAGCTACCTACACAATCAGTAGAAAACCCACCCTATAAATGCCCCGTTCAAGAAAACACCTATTTAGGGGCGCGTGGGTGGCTCAGTCCGTTGAGCGGCCGACTTCGGCTCGGGTCATGATCTCGTGGTCTGTGAGTTCGAGCCCCGCGTCGGGCTCTGTGCTGACGGCTCGGGGCCTGGAGCCTGCTTCGGATTCTGTCTCCCTCTCTCTGCCCCTCCCCCATTGTGCTGTCTCAGTCTCTCTCAAATAAATAAATAAACTTAAATAAAACACAAACACACACCTGTTTAACCTACAGGTTCTCCAGTGTCCAGGAGAACTGGAGAACTGTAGTCATTGCCAGTGAGCTTAGCTGAGGAACTCTGGGGTCTCTCTGCCACTGAATATTCTCCTCAGAGGATGAAAATATTCCACTATCCAAACAAAAACTATGCTCATCCATTTCTGGCTTCTGAACCTTAGCAAGAATCAGGAGTCCTTCCTCAACCCACACCTACTCCATTCAATTCAAAGAACAGAGGATTTTCCTCGATATAGTTTAGCCTCGCTTCCTCCAAAGCCTGTGCTCTCCTAAGCTTTCATCCACATGCCCAGGGTCCCTCAGATTCTCCCATATCTGACTAAATCCTGCTCTTCCATCTAAATAATGATGACAGCGACAGCGAAATCTGCTGATCTCCTACTGCGCATCAAGTATTTTCCACGCGTTGTCCCACTGAATCTTCCCAGCTCATACTTAAGCTGCATTTCACAGTGGAGAAAAGCAATTCTTAAAGAGATTAAGTCACCTGCACAAGTCACCCAATTAGGAAGCGGCAGAGGTGAGGCCCAAACCCAGGTGTGCGTAGCTCCAGAGCCTTAACTACCAAGCTCTCGTGTCCGTAGAAACAATAGAAGGGCTCTAAGAAGCATCACTTGCTCTAAGGGCTTCCTTTAACAAATCAGAGAATAAATTCCCCAATGACTAAGACAGGACCTCTTTTTGCTCCTAAGTTTATATAAACATATCACCGCATTTAACACACCTGCCCCCCAATCTTCCCTTGGCTTCCATGACTAACCTCCCTGGTTCTCTACCTGGCTACCATGCAGACTCTTCTTTGCTTGTCCACATCCCAAATGTCAGCATGCTCTGGGATACCACCCTTGGCCTCCTCTCTGGAGGAGAGGCCTATTCCAAGGCTTTGCGGCCTTTTTAAAGCAATGCCCCAAACTGATCAACACATCCCCCTAATTCCAGCTCTGCCCTATGTAGGACCCTCATTCCTTCAACTATCCTCTGGGCACTTGGACTTTACATCCAGGTCAAGCTCTAAGTAAATGACTCAAAAAGTCCAACTTCCTGCTTAATGTCCCACGGACCCTCTGTAGTTACCAGTATCCAAACTTTACTCAAGCCTTACTATGAAAACTGAATGTCTCCTAATAATCTTTAGCACCATCTCTCTTTACTCAAGCCAGAAACAGCAGGACACCCTGGATCAGATACACTCCCTCATGCTCCACACTGGTTTATCTCTAAACCAGTCAATGTGACCTAAAATGTCTCTGTTCCAGATAGAGCTCTCCATTCTGATGGCCACCCTCCAGGTAAAGTTTCTCCCTTCCTCTTGCACGAGTGCCTACAACAGCCTTCTCCTGGTTTCCCTGATTTGGACTCTCCTCATTGGTGACCCAACCTCCTCCTGCCCGTTAAGACCTACTATTCCTTTACAAGAGACCTGACCGTTTCACCCCCACCCCACGCTCCTTCCTACCTACCTCAGAGTAAAAGTGAGCCCATGGTAATGGTACCAAGGATCCTTCAAAAGCTGACCACACTGCTCTCTCTTGTCTGGTCTGTACCTCCGATTCCATCCTGCTCCCGGTCACTCTGGAAGAGCGGCCATTTCCACAACACTCTACATCCCTTTGAGTCTTCTGTGTTTTCTTCTGTTTGGAATTAATTCCTCAAACCAAGTGCCTTTTGAATTCCCTCTCATCTTGTAGACAAACCCTATCAGCACCATCAACATCTTCTTCCCGACCTACTACCAGTGGCATTTTTCATTTAGGGAATTTTCCAGGCTGTGCATGCCACTCTTCACCATAAGCCAGGTCTTCCTGGTAAGAGAGGTACAACTACAACCGAGGCCTCAAAGTGACTTTTCCCAAGGCTAAACAGCTAGTTAAATGAGTATTAACTTTCAGGGTGCCTGGGTGCCTCAGTTGGCCGAGCATCTGACTCTCGATTTCGGCTCAGGTCATGATCTTGTGGATGGTGGGATCGAGCCCTGTGTAGGGCTCTGCACCAGCTTTGGGCAGCCTGCTTGGGATTCTCTTTCTCTCTGCCCCTCCCCAACTTGCTCTCTCTCCCTCCCCACCCCTCTCTCTCTTTCCCAATAAATAAACTAAAAAAAAAAAAAAAAGTGAGTATTAACTTTCTAAATGTTCTCTATATCAAAGTTACAAAACTGAACATGTATTAAATAATAGTTGCCTCACTATATAGGTTCATATTATGAGAAATGTCCACTCAAAGACTTAAAAACACATAATAAACCATCCACACAACGTCTTCTCTCATAGTACTCTCATATATGTGTGTTCAACTCACTATGGATCCATTAATTCATAAAGCAAAGCACGACATTCAAACCATCCTAAATATTCTATGGTTTTGGATTATTTATGCACTTTCCCCAGTGACTCCCCAGAGGACTTCAGTCTCAGCCCAGTACCAACAAATATTACCATCAGAGAGGTGTTATAATCACATAAAATATTAGGGAGAGTGGTCAATTTTATCATGTATGTCAGTAAGTGGGAGGTAATAGGAAAAGGTCCCAAACTTTTGTGCAATTTGAGAACTCTGACTTTAAAACTGAATTTGAGACTAAACATGCCAGAAAGAAATCAAAAGTAAGGAACACGTAATGAAGTTTTAAGTAGTTTAATGTGTTCACTCCTCCCACTCAGTGTATTTTAGTCCATACTTCTGACCATGTTTTATTTATAGCAAAATTTTCAGCAATTCTATCAATAGCTAATAAAAAATAAAACATAAGAGAAAAACTTCTATAGAGGCCAACACATGGATTGCTTCAGTGGACAGAGGAGTGTTAGTGGCCCATTTTCTATTAAGCGAATGGTCTTAATTTGAAAATTGTACAAGGGGGCGCCTGGGCGGCTCAGTCGGTTGAGCGTCCAACTTCAGCTCAGGTCATGATATCATGGTTTGTAAGTTCAAGCCCCCCATCAGGCTCTGTGCTGACAGCTCAGAGTCTAGAACCTGCTTCAGATTCTATGTCCCATCTCTTTGCCCCTTCCTTGCTTGTGTTCTGTCTCACTCTGTCTCTCAAAAATAAATAAATATTAAAAAAAAACTTTTTAAAATAATAAATTAAAAAAATAAAAATTGCATCAAGGCAAGACTCAGATACACCAGGCTTGGTACCAACCTCCGCTGCTCTTCACCGTGTTCTCCCGAAGGGACAGTGAGGCATTCATCCATGTGTCCGTGCAGCAACCTGAGGACGTCACCACCAATTAGATACCCTGTAAGGATTGAAATTCAGGCACATTTGAACTGTCGTGGTCAGATGCCGATAGCCAGGCAGATCATCTGGTCCAATCTTCTATTTGCACAGACAGAGAAACAGAAGTTCAGTGAGGCTTAAGTATCTAGCCAAAATCTGCCTGCCGCCTCTGAGCGCAGGGTTCCCAAGTCCCACTGTCCATGATGTTCCTGCTAGAGAACATGACCTCGATCCCAGAAAAGCCTCCGTTCCGCATACAAACATGGAGAGACTCAGATCTGAACCTATGTAAAAGAGGATGATCAGAACAGATGCAGAGATTAACCTGACGCATAAACACTGCCATGGTCTGGCTCTAAGTCCCCCAACCCTGGAAGGTGAGAAGCCTCCCTATTAGCCTCACTGAACAATACTCTGAGGCCAAAACACTGGAGAAAACAACATCTAGGGAGCGAGCACATACAGCACACACAAATAAGCGAAAGGTGGCAGCACAAAAAAAAGAAAATCAATCTTAACACAAACTTCACTTTTAAATAGCAATCGAAACAAGATCCTTAAATGTCACGTATCTGCATTCCAGAATATTTTGACACAAAATGCCCTGATTAACAATCTGCTCATTATCACAATTCCAGGGATGACTGTCAACCATGGATCAAGGACAAGCCCTCTAATTGAAGTGGAGTTTTTTGTTGTTGTTTTTTTTTGTTTGTTTGTTTGTTTTTTACCTTGGGCGGCTTCACTTCCTGAGCTGATTGGGGCCACGCTCCAGAGAGTCTGCTGGAAAGCAGCATCCACGTGTAAGCTGCCATTGCCGTAAGACAAATGCTGTGGGAGAGGCAAAAGAGGGCATCTCTTCAGGCTTTTCGAAAGTCTTATGACGTAAGCGCTTCTGGCAGCTCGAACTTAACACTGCCGACTTGGGAATGTCCACTGAGAACATCTATTTCGATCCTGTCACTCAGGCATTAAGAGAGTAGTAGGAAAAAAAAAAAAGTGAGAGCTCCTATTTGACTTTAGGTATTTTTGAGCTTCATTCTAAGAGTGACTCACAGAAGCCGCTAATCAGAAACACACACACAAAACTACTAAAATCAATTTATGCATTAAAACAGACCATTTTGCTTTGCAGTTCGCTGATGGACGAAACTTGACAGAGAGCGGTCACTCACCATTGAAATTATAATTAGTTTTTCTACATATCACACGGTGACAGTTTTTGGACGGTGAAATAGGTAAATTCTAAGGGACTTTCACAGGGTCCTTGGAGAACTTTTATCTGCAATTTGATATGACAGCCAGTAAGTGGCAATATTTCCTAATAGGTAGCTAACCAGCACCTTCCATTTCCTCCAAAATTCAGATACTACAAATTTCAGATTTTCCTTCTTAAAAACAGAAATGTACTAAAATAATATCATATTTCCCATTGAAGAGTCATAATATATGAGTTTTCAAATAATTAGTAAAGAAAAACAAAATTATGGGTAACCTTGCTCATTTTACTGATCACTACTTGGCTGATTCTAGAATTTCAAATACACATAGAACAACCACTTTTTCCTTAGAGTCATTTCGGGTAAACATCACCAATATTCCTGTAATGTTTCTGCAACACTTTTCCAGTGCTGATGACAGCCTAAGCTTTTAAGGTCTTTAATTGTACCAGATTTTCCCCAGAAATCTGACCCTCTTCGTTAAATGAAGAACAATCACGAAGCAGTCACGGGGCGTTCCCGTGCTCCACGGGGCATTGAATATCCTAAACATACTCTCAAGTCACCGGCAAAAGCAGGTAAGTCACTATCTTTCTCTTGGGAACAAAATCAAAGAAAATTTTGACATTTGACACTTAGGTGGTCATCTTATCAATAATCTTTCGAATCAATAAGATTCAAAGTTTCCCTGTCGATGCATCATACTTAGCAATAACTTGCTCTGATCTTCTCGTCTTGGCTCACCATCCGCCTTTTTACAACCTTGTCACCTCAGCCTGTCCTTTGGACACCAAATCCCAGTGGACATTCGTTACTGAATTTCTTCCCCAATATGAGACTCCTTTAACTACTTACAGATAAATTCGTACATGCTCTGCTTCCATAACTAAGGAAGCCATATTTTCCTTCAGAGCAGTCACAGTGATGTAACTGTTCTGTGTATTTTCTTTCCCCATCTCATAAGCTATTAGACACAGGTTCACAACTGTATACCTCATATCGAGCAGCATTGTTCACTAAGCAAGAATGTGAAGAAGTCACCCAAACCTTTAAAATCAAAGTAGCATCAAACAAACAAAAAAATCTGAAGTTATTCTATGAATATTCCCATTTCAATGACCTGAGTCAAAGTAACAGCACACACACACACACACACACACACACACACACACACACACATCCATGTGGATTTTACCAAACCATGAGAAGATGACTCAAAATACCAATGCCTATATCTTTATTTGAAGTGAAAGCTCATACCATATGATGATAAATTATCGTCATCTGTCAACACATCACGTTTCACTGAATACGCTACGTATCAAGCACTGTGTTAAATATCAGTAGGTCACATGCTGTACCCTAAGTACACTTGTAACATGGAAGGGAAGGTAAAGTACGTGCATATTTTGAGGTAATACTTTAAGGTAAAATAAATATATGTTTCAATGTTACATGAACTGTAATTGAAGCGGTCCAGGAATTGAAACGAGACAGCACCTTGGCCAACGTAACCAGAACAGAGCTTGCTGCACTGAGCCTTGAGGACAGACAGCACTTGCACAAGAGAGAAGGGACTTGCACATTCCACATGGGATGAGAGCATGAGGGGCCAGTAGGACTGCTTAGTCTGGGCCTCACATTTCTGTGTTTAGAGATGCTGTCTCCGAGTAACTTTGTACATACATCGGATTTGGGTATGTATATTAGGAAGGTTAATGTGCTAAAGTAAATATTTAAAACATGCCAACATTTTTTATGAAACAATTTACATTTTGTAAGCCAGTTTGGAGGTTTTCATTTTTAATATGCCAGAAACCTCATAAATGGAAGTGGCCTGGACCTCTTTGTTCCTCTAAGAGGCTCTGATAAGGGGAATATTATGACACAGAGAAGGGGGGTAACCAAAGGGACAGACATATGGGAACACAGGATACAGCAGAGAGTTCCATGTTGGGGGCTGAGACCATATACTTAGTAATACAGTGAGATATGGATCAGCAGATAAACAGGTACCAGAACATGGGAGCACCTTATGCTTCAGACAATAAGGAGCTGCTGGGGGCACTGGGTGGCTCAGTTGGTTAAGCATCCGACTTCAGCTAAGGTCATGATCTCATGGTCTGTGGGTTTGAGCCTAACTCGGCTCGTGCTGACCCGTAGCTCAGAGCCAGGAACCACCAAGATTCCATACTGTGTCTTCTCTCTCTCCGCTACCGCCCCGCTCATGCTTAAGCCCACAATCAAAATAAATAAACATTAAAAAAAATTAAAAAAAAAAAAAATAAGGTGCTGCGAGGGCTGGGTGCACTCAGGGTGTTAGTATCGGCTTCAGCTCAGGATCCATCAGATCTCATGCAGTTCATGAGTTCGAGCCCGGTGTGGGGCTCTATGCTGATAGTTCAGATCCTGGAGCCTGCTTCAGATTCTGTGTCTCCCTCTCTCTCTGCCCCTCCCATCTCTCTCTCTCTCTCTCTCTCTCTCTCTCTCTCTCTCTCTCAAAAATAAAATAAGCATTAAAAAAATAATAGTAAGGAGCTGCTGTAGTGAAAAATAATGGGAGTGGGGAGGAGGGTTAAGATGCAATTTTCAAATCCTATCTAAACCTAAAGATAAATAATACGTACGAGAGGACCATAAAAATATGAAAGTTTCAGTCTGCTGAATAAAGTCCAAAAAATGTCCTTAAGATCGTATTGCAGCACACAAACTTAATAATGCCCACTCTTCTCAAGAAAATATTCTCTGGGCATAACTATTCTGGATGTCTCTAATTAATTTTGCTGCTTAAACAGCTAAGGGAAATCTAAAGACACACAACATTGTCAGACCTGTCGGATGAAATATTCAGAAAGCAGTAACAGTTGCAATTACTGAAACTAAGACGAGTTGTCCTTAAAGCAAAACAGATGTTGTCAGAGGTTGAAAGCAAAGTTGGCCTTAGGCTGAAACATGTAACTATTCTAGAATTTACATGCTTACAGTAGCATCAACCCACCAGCAAAAGTGGAGGGGCCTGGGGCCCCCTCCACTCCTTCATGTCACCGTGACCTTTGTGTTAGTGACTCTCCAGATCGAATACACACAGGAGTCAGCTGAGGATCTTGTCCAAACATGCATATTTGAACCCAGGAAGTGTGGAGGGGCCAACCAAGGCTGCTGGCCCCAAAACGGTGTTTTGAGTAACAGGACATTGTATGATAGAATCACAAAATCTCAGAAGTAAGAGAGGATATTATAAATCATCTTATGGGAGTTCTTTTTTTTTTTTTAATATTTACTTATTTTTGAGAGAGAGAGACACAGACAGAACATGAGTAGGGGAGGGGCAGAGAGCAAGGGAGACACAGAATCTGAAGCAGGCTGCAGGTTCTGAGCTGTCAGTACAGAGCCCAACATGGGGCTCAAACCTATAAACCATGAGATCATGACCTGAGCTGAAGTTGGACATTTAACCGACTGAGCCACCCACACTCCCCTATGGGAGTTCTTAACCAAAACTCCACTTAGAGAATGTCTAGTTTTCCTTGTAATCCTATGTATATGTTTCATGTATTTTAAAATATTGATGACAAGCGGTCAATAAGCTTCATCAGATTACCAAAGGGGTCTATGGCCCCTAAATTTTTAGGAATATTTGAATTCAACCCTTATGGGATGCATTCATTCAACACAAATATTTCTCTCTTAAGTGTCAGGCACCTGGGTCCTGGTGAGCAACATTCTGGATACATTAGCATCCAGTGACAGGAAATACAAGTACATAAGACATATCACCCCTCGGGCTTCATTTTCTCCTTCTGAGAAAAAATGAGGGGCACAGAATAGACACTCTTTCCGAAAGGAATATTCTATGATTCCATCATTGGAGCCACAGAGAGAGAGAGGAAAAAAAAAGGCTCAAAGTAAATAAAAATGGTTGCTGCAAAATAATTAGCTTGAAAAGATTTATGATCGCTGTCCTTTTTAGTTATCAGTATTTTATGCAACTTGAGGAAATTCAGCAACTTCTTATGTAGTCAAAACACCTTGTACTTCTTATGAGAAATTCAGAGATGGGTAGGGGAATGGTAGGGAAATTCTTATGAACCCGAGAATGCCTTATTTAAGCATCTGCCGACCACTCTTTAGATTGTGGGGTTCAGCTTTGCCTAATTACTTTCAGACAATGGCAATGTTTCCATGGATCTTTAAAAAATCTGTATGTTTCTATAGGTGACCTAATTAAGAAAAAATTAGTCAAAAAATCAATGTTTCCAATGCAAGTAATCCAACCCATGGATTGAAGACTTCTGTGTGTACCAGGGTGATCTGATGTCTTTCTAAACCAATAAAAGTTGTTGTGTATGCTTTATTTGTTCAGTTTGAAATAGATTCACAGTCAGCACTACCTACACGGCCATGTTTTCTCTATTTTAAGTTGTGTATCTGTCTTATATTTAAGCTGCTTTGTCAATTCTTAAAAGAAAAAAAGTAAACAGTTCCAATAGGGACACAGGGGTTTTGTTTTTCTTCTTGGATATCCTGAAAAGAGGATGAAGGTATCATTCCATATGAGAATATGAAACAGCAAGGTGAGAAAAGACCATATTTGGATGAGCGGTTTGCAACAACTTATTTCTAGAAATAAGACCCCTTATTCCTTGGAAATCATGCGCAGAGAAGCAACATACGAAGTAGAGGGCACAGCCTGGGCTGCTTGGTGTCCAACACAGCGCCCTCTTCTGTCCACGGGGCACGGCTGCAGAGGACAGGGTGAAAATCAATCGTGTCAAGTCGATTTTACCCATTAGCACCCCAGCAGTTGTAAGCTTTATTAGAGTACCTAAAGCCCAATTCAGCTTAACCATCTCTGTTAGTGGAGGAAAACTAGATCAAAGGTCCACAGGCACTAATGACTAGAAAGTTATAAAATCAATGGCTGGAAAAGTTTATTTTAAGTAGTTATTTTTAACGGATGTGTTTTCAGCCAAAGTTATTAAATTATTTACTTTTAAACACATCAGCAACTTCTCAGAATGTGAACCTGGCTTTCCACGGTAGACCTCTATTTAAAATCAGCTATATTACTCCCGCCTTCCCGACTTCTTCTTCTTCTGGTTGAGTATCTGCAGCGTCGTTAGCCATTCTCCACAAGGACAAATCTCCCAAGTAAACAGTGATAGCAACTCACTAAGCAACTCTCTGGTTTGGATCAAAGAATTTCATCTTTTTAACGCCCCTGTGAATTACGTTCTTTATTATCACCATACTGCAGGTGAGGAAAGTGAGGGTTTTAAGAAGTTCCGTGATTGGCCCAGGCTCATACTTACCAGACCCTACACTAATAAACAGATATTTATACACAGAGCCCATTTTTAGTTATTTAGGCGCAGTATACGGGTTATTCCAGCTGCTGCTATTCCAAAATCCTTCTGCTCCCTCACTATTTACCCTTATCACACTTTCTCCAGATTCTTGTAATCAACGACAGCAAAAGTGTGAAATAATTAACCATCCCTATGCCCTATACCCTATACCCAAAACCAAAACTGTAACACATACTTACTGCCTTACAATATTCTTCTACAGTTGCCTATGTATTTGGTTCGCTTCTTCCACTAATGCTTTGAGGGCAGAAAGCAGGTGCAATGTGCCCTTGGTCTTTCCTGCAGTTTTTACGACACGCTAGGTACACAGAGATGAACACTGAAAGCACTGACTTCGTGCCCAAACAAAAGCGAAATCTGAACAGTCCGGGTGACCACTGTTTGTAGCTCGCTAAAAGCATACCAGAAAAGGAACCTGGGTGAATTGGCTAAACTGTAGCTGGAAAATAATTCGTGAATTTCATTTATCATGAGATTTATTTCTAAAGGCAAGAGAAGGTGAACCTCATGCATTATGATTATTGATACTATTCGTCTAAGTGCTTTTGAAATCATACCTTATTCACATTCATTATCTGATTGGTTCATCCTAGTAAACTTGTGTTAAATATAAGCACCGGCATTTTGCAAGTGGGAAAGCCAGAATTCAGGGAGTTCAGGGAATTAGTGGCAGAAGGGATGCTAGAAACATGGTCCCCGGTGAGATTCCGAGTTTTCTACTCCTTCAGTACCCAACAATGGCATCCCGTCAGGTAAACTCTGCTACGTCGTGGGAAGTACAAATTGTACAGCAAAAACATGCACAGTCATGTCCAAATCAAAATAAGATATGTATACATTTAAAAGCATGCAATGGGGGTGCCTGGGTGGCTCAGTCGGTTAAGCGTCCGACTTCAGCTCGGGTCACGATCTCGCGGTCCGCGAGTTTGAGCCCCGCGTCGGGCTCTGGGCTGATGGCTCAGAGCCTGGAGCCTGCTTCCGATTCTGTGTCTCCCTCTCTCTCTGCTCCTCCCCTGTTCATGTTGTGTCTCTCTCGGTCTCAAAAATAAATAAACGTTAAAAAAAAATTAAAAAAAAAATAAAAGCATGCAATGATTACTTTTAGCTGCTACTGGTTTCCAAGTAAAATTACAACTCCAAAGATCTATCTCCTGATCAAGATGTACAGCACCTTCACAGACACAGCATGTGCATACAGCAAGGGCTTAATAAATGCTTCTTTGACAAGCTGACATGTCTGTATTATCCCAGAAGCATGGATGGTGCCCGCTTCCACCCACACTGGTCAAGAGACAAAAGGAGAGAAACACTCCAGGCCTCCCTTTGGCTGTTCAACATTAGATGTTCCACTTAATGTAACAGTCCTGTGAGTTAGACCATCACTGTTCCATCATTTCCTGGTCTTTACCATTACCTCTTTCCACAGAGCAAGTGAAATAAAACCGTTCTTCTGAGATACGTCTCAAAATTGGAACGAAATGTGTTGATAAGCACCATCTGACTCCCAACAGCCCAAACCCACCCTATTTCCATGTTCCCAGAGCAAGGGGCACCAGCTACCTTCTTGATCTTAAATCGACTGTGCAAAAAGAGTTTCATTTATGGCAGTGGGAATACACTTTCTATAAATCAGTGTCTGCTTAACTGCTACAATGTTCCATTTCTGATTTTTATTTCTATCATCATCCACTGTGATGTTTGGAAGTTTTTTATATAAATATTCTTGGAAAGTTTATAATTTATACTTACTTTTTTTTTTCTTTAAGATTTATTTATTTATTTAAGTAATCCCTACAGCTAGCGCGGGGCTCGAACTCACAAACCCCAAGATCAAGAGCCACATGGCGCACTGACTAAGCCAGCCAGGTGCCTCTGTTGAGTTCCTTTTTCAACCTCAAAATAAAAAGAATACTTTGCACTGGCATCCTTCACACTTCCATTGATTTCACTCTTCTGAAAACTTGGGTGCAGCAAAAATACAATTTACTAAGTAAGTTAAATTAAATATATAACGGCCTCGCCACAAAAATAAAATACACCTCCAACGATACAATACAGACTTCTTTTTTCACACTCCCATTTCTAACCCCCACCCTCTGAAACCATGCCGTGTCAATGAGAGACCGGAACTGGTTTTTATTTCATCTATTTCTCCTTTGTCAACATGGCACAAGTTCCTCATATACTAATTTGCTTTCGTACATGTCAAAACAGGTAATCACAATCCCCTTAACACAGCCTTCGGTGGGCACAAAATAAAGTCCGTGGAATTTTGAATTCCTGATTAGACTGTATTTGCATGTCATTAATAAAATAACCTGAGAACAGGTGCTGTCAGTATCATGAACACACAAACTAAGGGCACAAGGGAAGCCTGTCTAAATAAACCCGGGAAGCCACACTTGCACACAGGTCACATTAGTCCCTTACTTAAAGTTATTTATAACTCATCAAAGAGAGATACAGCCTTGTCTCTAAGCAATTTTGTTAGGGAATTTGCAGTCTTGGGTTTCCGGTGAAAACTTCATGGACCCAACACCCAACACCCGACCCCTTCTGCCACACTTACCAGGTACCTCTCAGAGGACACACTGACTAAGATGAGGTCATCTCCAACGCGCACCTTTTCTCCTTCCGACCTCTGCTTGGACGCAGGATGAATAGTCCACCAACAAGCCTCACCTGCAGGACGATTGGAAAGGGGAAACACGAAGAGATGCCTCTTATTTTAAAATCGATTTTGTCTGCCAGCACCTCCAAAATGAAAGAGTCTTTCATAAAATAAGTCTTCAAGTCGGTCTCCCGATAAATAAATAAAATGGTTCTTCTCACCCAGCTTTCAGAAGTTTGAAGGTTCACTTGCAGTTTACTGCAAGTTCATCTGGTAGACCACGGAACTCCAAAGACCGAGGCCAGATTAGCTTAGGGTAAAGACATGGCCAAATGCAATGGAACCCGGTTGTGACATTCTGGGAAGTTTGGTGTCTCCCTCCCCACCCCGCCACCCCCCACACTGAGAATTGCTTACAAGGTATTTATTTACGCTACCATATGGTCAAATGTACCAGTCATGCTGGTCTTACTGCATTCCTTCTATAATCACATGTTCCTTGCTCTCTGTAATAACCTCTAGTTTTCTGGCACATGATTTTCAAAAGGACTTGGCGTTTGCAATGTGACAGTTGCATTATAGCATTTTAAAAACTCTGTACTTTGGGGGGATGCTAATTAAAAGTAGATGCAAAGTGTTGTCACTGAAATGTTACTATCCTGTGCCTTGTTTTATTTTTTATTTTACTTTTTAAAAAAATTTTTAATATTTATTTTTGAGAGAGAGGTTGCGAGAGAGTGAGCACAGGAGGAACAGAAAGAGAGGGAGGGAGACACAGAATCCAAAGCAGGATCCAGGCTCTGAGCTGTCAGCGCAGAGCCCGATGCGGGGCTTGAACTCACGAATCATGAGATCAGGACTTGAGCTGAAGTTGGATGCTTAACCAACTGAGCCACCCAGGAGCCCCTTATTTTTTACTTTCAAATGTGGTAGTTTCTACTTAACTAAGGGTAAAATATAAGAGAATCCTACTATAGAAGGATACATCTTAAAAATATCTGGGTACACATTAACTCAAATAATTTCTTCCAGAACAAGTCAAGCATAAGCCTCCTGAGCCACACATCAATCCATTCTTCAGTCCCATTAGCTAAAATATAAACTTAAGCAAACAATTCTTCAATGTGTTTAAAGTTCCTTTTAAAATCTAAATCTTGGGGCGCCTGGGTGGCGCAGTCGGTTAAGCGTCCGACTTCAGCCAGGTCACGATCTCGCGCTCCGTGAGTTCGAGCCCCGCGTCGGGCTCTGGGCTGATGGCTCAGAGCCTGGAGCCTGTTTCCGATTCTGTGTCTCCCTCTCTCTCTGCCCCTCGCCCGTTCATGCTCTGTCTCTCTCTGTCCCAAAAATAAATAAACGTTGAAAAAAAAAAAAAAAATTTTAAAATCTAAATCTAAGTTCTATCCAAAATTGCAAGTAGGGTTTTAGTGATCTCTGTTATCTAATACTCATTCTGCCCCTTTGACCAGCTTTATTATTTTTCAGAACACTTATTTTTTTCTTCTTCACCAATTCCCCAATGCCAGAATAAGTTCCATAACAGCAGGGGCTTTGTGTTTTTGTTCACCGGGGTTTCCCCAGCTGCTACTAGCATATTGTAGGCACTAAATAAAAATTCACTTTGCATAAATGTGTAAATTAATCATCAAATACCACTTCTTAAGCATTCTTACAGCCAACATGTCATGTGCCCTGAGATGCTTTCCTTATATGGACCACAGTCTTACTTGAATGTCGCCTTGCAGGGTTTTTTTATCTTTATTCACTCAATTCACATTTTTAGGGTTGCAGGGAGTTTTTCATTCATTCACTCAAATGTTTATAAAGCAACCACACTCTGTCAATCACTGCTTTAGAAGTTGGGGATACACAGTAAACAAGGAATGAAAAGTTATCTGCCTTGTGAGTTTAATTCTCAAAAGGCAGGCAGACAACAAGCAATAAATATAATAATTCAGCAATTCAGATGATGTAAAAAGCTACGGGAACACAGTACACCATAAAGGGATCACACACTGGCAAAGGGACTGCCTTATTTTGTTGTTTTGACGATTATATAATCATCTCAGTGTATGAAAACAAACTCTAGATCGTACATGTCTTTGACTCTTTTTGAGAGAGACAGAAATAAAGACTTTTTCATGTCGATGTTGCTGAAGTAAATTAAAATGAGGAAACATTTCAAAACTAGCAAAAATGCAGAGAAATGATCAAGCTTCTAAAAATAAAAATAATATTCCTCGTTTTGGTGCCTGGGGTTCTGGAATCTGTCATGCATGGTGATGTGTTGGTCTATGAAAAGTTAATTAGGTTGGTGAATATTTATCTTTATCCACTGGTTGTCTGTGAAAATTTTAGAAGGTGGTATTTTATTTTATTTTTTAAAATTTATTTTATTTATTTATTTTGAGGGGGAGAGGGGAGAGGGAGAGTGAGCAAGAGAATCCTAAGCAGGCTCCACACTGTCCACGCAGAGCCCAATGTGGGGCTCAAACCCACAAACTGTGAGATCATGACCTGAGCTGAAATCAAGAGTCAGTGGCTTAACTGACTGAGCCATGCAGGTGCCCCTGGGAAATTATTTAAAAAGGAGGAAAGGGGAGAGATGTGAGGGGATAGCTTGATCCCTCCCCTGAAAGAAAGTACTCAATAAGACTTGGTCTGTTTCCTTCCTTTGTTTTCTACTTGGTCTTTATTTTTATTTTTAATTCCAATTTTTCATTTAATTCCATAAAGTTTTTTTTTGTTTTTTTTTTTAAATTTTTTTTTTTCAACGTTTATTTATTTTTGGGACAGAGAGAGACAGAGCATGAACGGGGGAGGGGCAGAGAGAGAGGGAGACACAGAATCGGAAACAGGCTCCAGGCTCCGAGCCATCAGCCCAGAGCCCGACGCGGGGCTCAAACTCACGGACCGCGAGATCGTGACCTGGCTGAAGTCGGACGCTTAACCGCTTAACCGACTGCGCCACCCAGGCGCCCCTAATTCCATAAAGTTTTAATTGGTTTATTTTTAATTTAATTTTAATTTTTTTAAATTTTTAATGCATGCTCATTGTAAAAGATAAGATAATCAAATTGTACAGAGGCATATAAAGCGTAAAGTCCTCACAGCACTGAGAACAGAAACACCAACAGAGTCTATGTTCTCCTACTTTGATTCTCCCCAAGGGTAAATTGTGTTAATGTATGCATTTTCTGTTTCAAAATATAAAAATATATGTGTATTTGGACAGATATGTAGCCCTATGGACGGAGAAATGAGGCAGACTTTCATTTTTGACCTTTTTGTTGGAATCCTGACATGAAGCATGCTACATTTTTTAGACTTAAAATGTAGTAAATACTGTATTTGTATCCAAATCCCTAAGAAGAATGTTTGAGGTACAGTTTGAGTAACCAGTTAATTATGTGGGAACGACCAACCAATAGAAACAATATACACTTCCTCCTTCTACTAAAAATCTTCCTTAGAAAGTCATTCGTTTTTTTTCTTGACTCCATCCATAAGAACATTTATCTAATGGATCTCCACGGCTTACAACTTCTCCCAGTCCAATCCCTGCCATGCTCTCTCTGAGCACAGCCTCACTGGGGCCCAAGGCGCTCACCTGTTGTGTCCTCTTGCAAGCCAACATCAAAGGCCAGTTTATCAGTTGAAGACCGGGAGGTGGACAGACAGCACAGGTACTGAAAGACACAGAGTCAGTAGTTGTTGCTAAACATTTACGGTCCTGTGGGAGTTTAATTCTGACGCGTCATTTGCTATCATCAGTCTATCTCTGCTCTATCAGTCTTCTCCTTCACATCTGGATGCTTCTGTGCACAGCCCCGATTTTTCATTGTGAGGGAAAACAACACTCATATGGCATTCATTAGGAGCAATGCTCTAAGGGAGATGCAGTCCTTTCTCTCCTCACGAAAAGACTTAGGAAATGTGTTCTGTCAGTAAAAGAAAACACATAACTGGGGATATGTTTGTACATCTCCCTTCATGTGATATTCATGATCATAAGCAAAAGTACAACCTGATCGGACAGAAATCTTTCTCCCAAACAGAAATTTGAAATCTATTCGCTCTCATCTTCTGGTTCTGGTTTCATTTTTGAAATTTTAACTCTCGGGGAACCTAGGTGGCTCAGTCGGTTGAGTGTCCGACTTTGGCTCAGTTCATGATCTCAAGGTTCGTGGATTCGAGCCCCGCGTCGGACTCTGTGCTGACAGCTCAGAGCCTGGAGCCCGCTTCGGATTCTGTGTCTCCCTCTCTCCCTGCCCTTGTCTCCCTACTTCTCTCTCTCAAAAGAATGAATGAATGAATGAATGAATGAATGAACGAACATTAAAAAAATTTTTTTTAATGAAATAAAATTTTCACTCACTGAAATTCATCTGAATTCATTTTGGTGTGCAGCATGTCACCTCCCTGAGGTGAGGTTCTATCACATGTATACGTGTGTGTGATTCCCTATGAGTAACTGAACTCTTGCAACACCATCATCTCCTTCCATCTCCCCCCCTCCTTAAGTTTCCCTAACTGTATATGCTTGAACATAAAGTCTAGCATAATTTTTCAGTCCACCTTCCTGAACCGTACCCCAACCTCAGAAATCTTGGCAAACTGGTATAAGAATGAGGACACAAGGATGAACGTAGTATAAGGTCAAGATACACTATCATCTACGTAACAAGCGCACTGCCAGCAAGACCAGGAGCCCTGCAAAGAGTACTCAGAGACGATTCTGGGGATGGAGCAAGTCCAGACCTCTCAGAGTTACTGAACAAATAGGGCAAAGCCTAGAAAATTCTTTCTATGAAACAGGATCCACCCACCTTAGTGGGAGCCAGTAACTGTGACGAGGCGAGAGTGAATCAATTGGGACAGATGTGCCGGCACATTAAGTGGAAGTCAGTGCCATGGGGATGTAAAATGAAATTAACATGGAGATTCCAATTCTGCCTTTTGTCTACAAAACACTGGCTCCCAAAATTATAGAAAAGTTGCTTTGAGGGTCCTCAAAAATGTTCTGAGCCAGTGTAGGACTGTGAGTCTCACCTTGAGAAAGGCTGCCCATGGTGATACCTGAGGTTCATAGACTTTAGCTCTAAATATATTAAGTGTCTTCCTTTATCTTGTTAAAGTCTTCTGTTACATCCTGCAATAATTACAGTACTGGGTACTATCAATATTACCATAAATTCTCTCTTCCAATAATATTCACAGCAACTATGAGGTAGGTAATATAATTATTCCACTAAATGTTCATTAAGTTCCATGAGGACAAGGATATGATCTTATTCACTACTATACCCAGCACCTAAAACAGTACCTAGCACACTTGAGAAAGTGAGTGTGAACCCAGAATGACTGACCAAGTTCTGGAATAGAATTCTTTCCATGAAGTTTTAATGCATGATGGCTGTATGCAAATAGGTTGCATTTATGTATTTATCTAGTATCCAGCCGCTTTACTAGAGTATTTTCCTAAATTTTATTTCTTATATTGCTGTGTCAGCCAACAGATCCAGAACCATGTTAATGTACTTTTGGTTTTGTTTATTTGTTTGACTGGGTTTTGTCAAGAACCACCTTAGTGTTTGACAATTAAGATTGATGTTGGTTATTGAATTGATGTTTATATTTTATCACTGAGAAATTAATCATCAATGCTTAGTTTTTATTAGAAATGGGTGTCGAGTTTTATTAAAAACCTTTTTCAATACCTGTTAAGATGATCACAATTTTTCTTATCTGGCCTATTTATATGATGTAGCACATTAATAGAAATGATATTATTAAGTCATCATTAAATGGTATCTACAGTTTTCCTATACTTCTCTTCTTATACTTTTGAATTCCATTCACCAGAAATTTAGGTCAGATTTTCACACTGATAATCATGAAAAAGACTCACAATTTTAAGTTTATTTTGAGAGAGAGAGAGAGAGAGAGAGAGAAAGAGCATGAGCGGGGAGGGCAGAGAGAGGCAGAGAGAGAATCCTAAGAAGGTTCTGCACTGTCAGTGCAGGGCTCAAACGCAATGAACTGTGAGATCATGATCTTACTCTTAACCAACTGAGCTATCCACGTGTCCTGACTGACAATTTTTTATATGTTTTTGGGTACTGATATTGAGGCTATGCTTGGTCACCTGTTCTGAAGTGATTTACATAATATCAGAATTATGTAAATCTCTAAAACAGATTTTCTTCATCAAAGAAACAATCAATTATATTATACTTCTAAATGTTGGACCATCATGTATTCAAGAAAATTATATTGATGAAGAATTTAAATAATGTGGAAAATGCTTATGCTACAATAATATGTTTAGAAAATCAGGATATAAATTTGGTTATGTAGTAAGATCTCAATTATGTAAAAAATTAATAAGAACAGAAAGGATTAAATTTTTTTTAATTTTTTTTTAACATTTATTTATTTTTGAGACAGAGAGAGACAGAGCATGAGCAGGGGAGGGTCAGAGAGAGAGGGAGACACAGAATCCGAAACAGGCTCCAGGCTCTGAGCTGTCAGCCCAGAGCCCAATGCAGGGCTCGAACTCAGGACCGCGAGATCATGACCTGAGCCGAAGTCGACGCCCAACCGACTGAGCCACCCAGGCGCCCCAAGGATTAAATTTTTTTAAAGTCCCTAAACATTCTTCTCCCATTAACATGATCATGAAGAATTGTGTCATCTGTAATTTCCAAATCTTATAAAATAAATATGTATTGCTTTTATAACCTAATAAAGCTTTTACAAGAGTAGAATAAAACTTTTATGCATTTTACAAACTATATAAAATAATAATGCATATTATATAACATAAAAATATATAGAAGTATATCAAGTATGTATCTAGATAGACAGATATGTATATGAGTATCTACACCTATATGGATAACACTGTGGATATAGACTTTTTCAATGTTATCCTTCAGTAATTTTCTAATAAATGAACTGTGTAATTTCTTTAATTATAAAATTTAATTTTCTAATAAATGAACTGTTTAAAACAAAAACAGAAATGAGAAATATTTATTTGACTCTTACACCTCTGTCTTCTTAAAACCAGTCTATCAAAAATTAAGATAATAAAAAATAGGAGTCGTAAATGATAGAATTGAAGGACTTTACAGATCATCTAAGCTAACTCTCATTTTTTAAATGAGAAAAAATAAATAAGGTACAAAGGTATTAAAGAATGCATCCATCCCAATTTATTAATACCATCAATGAAATGCTATTACCAACACTTCCTGCTGATGTATATCTAAATGAGCCCTGTAAGAGATGAAATCAAAATGCATACTCACCATGCCACTATAGGAATGGCGTAGCAATATGGCATGTCCATACAGGAGTGTTCGATGACCACCACCTTGAGCAGTCTACATAGAAAGAAGAAAGGGTCGACAAGAAAAAAAAAGAAAGAAAAAAGAGTAAACTTAACTACGTCAATAAAATACTCTCTTGCTATCAAGGAAACATTTAATAGGAAGGAATAAAATAAAAGTAAGCAAAGTGCCGTGATAAGAATGTTTAAGTTGGAATAAGGCTACCAAGAAAAATCTCTACGGAGAGTCTGACAGTTGATCTAGTTCTTGAAGAATGAACTTGATTTTGCTAACTGTAAGTACTTACCAGAATTTGTAATTACTTATTTATAGTTATTTATTGTCTCTATTTCCCATTACATTGTGAGCTGCACTGGGCAGGGACTACGGTACCTTGGTCACCCACTGTACCCCAGGTTCCTGGCAAAATGCCTGGCACACAATAAGGACTAAATAAATATCTGTTCAATGAAAGAGAATTCCTAAAGCACAGAATGGATCCAATCATCTACAGGTTTGAAATTGTTTCATGCCTTCCAACTGTTTTTTTTTTTTAAGAGTCCAAGTTTTTAAATATGAAATAGAGAAATGCTTCTCAAATTTTAGCATACTTACAAATCACTGGGAAAGCTTACTAGGATAAGGAGTGATGATACTGACTTATGTATACTTTAAGAAGTGAAGAAAGTACATTAGTATCTTTTTTTAAGTTTATTTATTTATTTAGAGAAAGAGACAGAATGTGCACAAGTGGGGGAGGGGGAGAGAGAGAGAGAATCCAAAGCAGGCTCCATGCTGTCAACGCAGAGTCCATTGCGGGTCTTGATCTCATGAACCATGAGATCATGGCCTCAGCCAAGATCAAGAGTTGGACGCTTAACCAACTGAGCCACCCAGGTGCCCCAAGAAAGTACGTTAATATATTATACTGCTATAGCTCTTTTCACTCAAAAGATACCCGCTTCCTACTGTTCCGTACAACTCCTTAGGATAACTTTTTTTTACATGTTATGCTCAAAAGACCTCAGAACCATTCTTAAAACAGGTCTTGAAAGGGATTCAAATAAGAAAACCTGCTTTAAAAAAAGGAGAATCGCTTTTTTCATACACTGAGAGCAAAAGGGAAAAATCTACTTTGCAAAATCATATTCCTTCTCAGAACTAGGCACTCTTTGAAAAGTATTCATTTCTTTTAAAATAATGTTTGATTCGTGTAGCCGAGAACAATTTTATTCACCTTGCCTGATGTGGGTCACTCTGACAGGAGCTTACCTTTTCATACCACATACAGGTTCCACAGCCACAAAATACAACTGACCTTGAGTAACACTTAACAGTCACACCAATCAAAATAAGATTTTTTTTTTCAACGTTTATTTATTTTTGGGACAGAGAGAGACAGAGCATGACCGGGGGAGGGGCAGAGAGAGAGGGAGACACAGAATCGGAAACAGGCTCCAGGCTCTGAGCCATCAGCCCAGAGCCCGACGCGGGGCTCGAACTCACGGACCGCGAGATCGTGACCTGGCTGAAGTCGGACGCTTAACCGACTGCGCCACCCAGGCGCCCCAAAATAAGATTTTTTAAAAATGAAGGACAAGGCCTTAGATTTAACCCAAAAGTGGCAAATGATCCTTTTACTCTAACACTTTGCTTTAGTTCACTTATATATAATACACACATACACACACGCACGCACACACGCACGCACACACGCACACACACACACACATATGTAAATGTTCAAATTGGTTAAGGGAGATATTCCAATTACAGATTTTATACAACTAGGCAATTATAGATTTTACACTATAGATTTCCTCACCACTTAAATACAAATTTATGCTGCAGATTGTTTTAATAGAACTGAAAAAGTATGCAAATAACCCACACTAAATTAACTTTGTTACTTAAGAGAGCACAATTAACACAAAGTGAATGCAATTTCTGTCACATGGTCCACACTACTTTTTCTCTCATGTCTCATTTTATTTTTTATATTTATTTAAGTCATCTCTATCCCCAATATAGGGCTTGAACTCACGATCCCGAGATCAAGAGTGGCATTCTCTTCAGAAGGAGCCAGCTAGGCACCCCTCTAATGTGTCATTTTAAATGGTACTACTCCAATTGCCTCTAAATCAGAAAAAAATAAAATGTGCAATTTCCACACTTGAGCATATATTGGATAATTGTTCATTCAACAAACATATATGAAAACAATTATGTATGTGAGATTGATTCAAAGAGGTACCTTGGTTCTTTTCTGTGTTTTTTTTTATTTTGTTTTTGGATTTGGTTAGTTGTGTCAATATTTTTGTTAAATTTGGCCTGGTCCTTGCTTTAATTTAAGTGAACGAATATTTAGGGACTTCTTCTGATATTGGGAACTTCTGGTACTTTATGAAGTGGCTATACCAAATACTAGCCAGTTCTAGAGTTCTTCCTTCAACACTCTACAACACTGTGCTTCAGGTAGACTGTTGGACTTCCCCCGAGAATTTCAATGAGAAAAAGATCATCACTGTTGGGTGATGTATCAGGACCCCAGAACAAAGGTCCATTTTCCCTTTAGCCTCCCAAACCTAAATCTATAAGGACTCAGCTGTATAACCATATTATGCTTTGGGAATCCCGCCAGGACCAACTAGGTTAAGAGTCAATCAAGCTAATGTAGTTCAAGGCTGGCCCCCTTTCAAGAACATACACAGGAAAAAAATAATCTTAGTGGTTTTTGAAGTTAACCTAGTAACTGTTTTTTGGACTCTGCCATATGGTCAAAGTAAGCATTGCTTTCAATTGTACCAATTTAGAAAAGAAGTAAATGGCATTTTATGTGAGACAAATAGACTTTTAGTTCCCACGAAAGCCATCTATACTCTAACTAGTCCTGCTAATTCTCCAGTAAGTATCACACGAAAGAAACACTCTGTGCTATGTCTTGGAAGACTACTGTCTGAGAGGTACAGTGCACTTGATGCCAAGGGTAGCATGCATAATATTTTCTTATTTGCAATAAGAACTGAAAGCTCTAATTATTCATTTACTCAACAACTATATATTGGATCCCATGTAGTTTCCTTCAAATATTTGCACACTAACAACAAAGAAAACAAGTTTAAGAGTTACTTCTTTGTGGGGTGCCTAGGTGGCTAGGCCCGTTAAGCATCCAACTTCGGCTCAGGTCATGATCTCGCAGTCAGTGAGTTCGGGTCCCGCATTGGGCTCTGTGCTGACAGCTCAGAGCCTGGGGCCTGCTTCAGATTCTGTGTCTCCCTCTCTCCCTGCCCCTCCCCTGCTCACGCTCTGTCTCTCTCTTGTGCTCTCAAAAATAAATAAACCTTAAAGCTTTTTTTTTTAAGGAGCTAATTCTTTGTATGATTCTTAATGCCTCCAACTATGGGATGCATTATCATCAGATCCTTTTCGTAAAAATATTACCTGGAACTTACAAGTTCTTGAATACATTTCCAAGCATGACTTAGGTTCTACCTGTCCCTGAAAATGCAGCTGCTGGTACCCTAGCCCTGCCTCTAAGGTTGGTTGAGTCTGTGATGTATTTAGTGAGCTGCTGGTCATCAGCCCTTCACGGGCCCCCCCAGCAGAACCAGGATCTGGAAATCAGCTCCCGCTAGACTACTGTGGTCTCCTGTAGACAATGAGGGTCTATGTTAAGGTGCTACTGCCATTTTAGGTGGAAAAAATAACAAAAACATCAACAACTATCATTTCCAAACTCTCTCAGTACTTCTGATGTTGGAGAGCTAACCATCAGTTATTAAAAGGTGAAATTTGACTTTCTGAAAATATCAGCTAAAAACATGTTTTCAGGGGCGCCTGTGTGGCTTAGTCAGTTGGGTACCTGACTCTTGACTTTGGCTCTGGTCATGATCCCAGGGTCACGGGATCGAGCCCCATGTCTGACTCCACACTCAGCATGGAGATTCTCTCTCTCTCTCTCTCCCTTTACTTCTCTTCCCCTATTCGTGCTCTCTCTCTCTCTACTTCTCTCCCCCTATTCATTCTCTCTCTCTCTCTCTAAAATTAAACAAAAACAAAAACAAAGAAAGCCTGTTTTCAGTTCTGTGTGTGGATTTGGACCCATTATCCCTGAAATGACTGACACGGTTAATGTTCCACAACAGTGTAAAAAAATGACCTCATGAGCTGTAAGTGGATAAAAGAGTCCAGAGTACATTCAAACAAAATCTAATCAACACTGTTGTATGTGTTCTAAACCAGCCTCACTTCAAGTTTTACACAAATTATCTTAATATCAATTTAGTATTATTAGGCATTCCTATGCTTCTGGCTTGCCAGGATCTTACTAAAGATGTCCAATTAGGGGACCCATATTGTAAGTAAAAGCTTTGATGTACATGCTTCTATGTTTACATTTATTTAGAACAATATGCCATCACGGGGTATAATTTATTCATGCTACCCTCTGTGGGAAGAGGGACAAATTGGATCATTGTAACTACATTTGATGTATAAGAGCAGAAAAGCACGAAACATAAAATCATAATAGCAATGACTAAGACACTGAAGAGGTTTATACACACAAAAAATTACTGGTACTGTGTTTCTGTTGTTTTGGTGTTGTTGTTGTTGTTGTTGTTGTTGTTGTTGTTGTTGTTGTTTTGGCTCTGTGTTCTTTAAATATGTGTTTGTATTATATATTGGCTTATTAGCATGTCTCCCCTATTATTACTCTTTAACACTATCTAATTTACTAACTGTATAATATCTAAATACTTTAAGTTTTCTGTTTTTCTATTTTTTCCTGTATAAAAATGCTATGTTAATAAATGTAGGACATCATCATTCCAGGCCCTTATTATGCAAAAAGGTTGTTTTTGTAATAAGTCAGACCACAGCATTTTTCTGTATTCCTTGACTGCTATGACATAACATGCCATTTTAGAAGTAAAACAATGAAATCTTAAAAGAAATTTATTACTGCAGGTGATCCTTGAGTACACGCCAAAATATGAAACAACAGACAAGAACAAGAAATTTGTATTAGAGAACTTCTTTCATTGTGCTCAGATATTTAAGCAGAGAAGCTTTTAAGTTTACCTTCAAATCCTAATAGTCAAATTTGGGAAATGAGTTGTTCCAGGGAGAAAAACGGAAAAATATCTCCATGCTTAAACTTTTAAATCATCTGACAATGACCTATAAAATGCAACTGTGAACGGCACAAGATCAAAGAGGAATCACACAGAATTGGGGGGCCTGGTATTTCGGTCAACCTATGGGTCCCCAGCAGCAGGACACAGACACTCGCAGCCCTGCCTTCTTTAACAGGAAATCACGTAATAGATTCACAAGATGATTATAATAACTGATGAGAAATCTGTCTTCGGTGCAGAGTAAATGTGTCTGACGAAGCCAGTTGAACAGTGTCAAGATGGCCATTTGGCATTGGATGGTGTACCTCTGATGGGTGTCTTAACCTAAAGGTCTCCTGTGGAAGCAGACCGAAGATCTATGAACCAACCACTGCGCCAAGAGTAGAAATGGGCTCTCACCACAAGGAAACATCTGTCTGGTTCTAGGAGGTTAAACAATGCCTGTCCAGGTATGAAACCCAAAGCAAATCACGATTGGAAGATGAAAGCTAAAGAAAATTCGGCATCTTTTCCCGTTTAAGTGGCTTAAATTGCTATAACTTCACACATACACCCTCTGCTTAGATTCTAACCTCTTTGGATCATCCAATGCAGGTACAAAAATAAGCCATCGGGCTTCTGGCTTTGCAGTTAAAGGGAATTAGACCCTAATCAAATCATTCCAGGTATGCTACCTGGTTTAAATTGATTCTACATCACCTTTATTTTTTTTTAATTTACATTTTAGGTAGTTAACGTACCATGCAATATTGGTTTCAGAAGTAGAACCTGTCTGGTCACTACTGGTCTCCTACACGCAGTGCTCCCCACACGTGCCCTCCTCCATGCTACATCATCTTTCTGTTTGCACTGAGTTTTCTATGAACCTGCTCTCATGAAAACGCTTGAAAGAGAAGTTTAAGGTAACCATCCCATTCATCCTCTTCCAAGGGGAAGTAGATATGGCATTGGATAAGAGACTGGTATGATAAAACGGCAAGATGGAAAAAAGAGCAGTGTAAATGCAGATTTGGCAAGAAAAACTGAATTTTTCAAACCCCATTTCATTAGGTACGTATTCATATCTGCAAGGAGAGGACATACTCATGTTTTGCTGCTATTTATACTATTTCCCAACTACAATGCTTGCTTCATGATGTTTAATTAAGTGGTTAATGTCCTCTCTTCCCAATGTTAAGGTTATAAGAGTATCTTCTGTTATCTGAAATTTAGGAAAATGTTTTGTGTCCTTGATGATAGATGGCTTCAAAGAAGTCATCTGCTCTGACACCCCAACTGTCAAATTCTTAACGTTAATGAATAGGTCCAGTTGTGGGGACCCCACAACACTCATAGTACAGAGTTTTGGAAAATACGAACGACAGACATAGACTCAAGAGACACTCAACCAGGGACACTTTGCTTCCTTTTCTTCCATGCGACCTTTTAAATCTACATCCAGAATTTTGAGTTAATAGGTTTCATAGTTTATATCTTTTGAAATGACATTCTTTTGGGGTGCCTGAGTGGCGCAGTCGGTTAAGTGATCTCACAGGTCAGGTCGTGATCTCACAGTTCGTGGGTTTGAGCCCCACGTGGGGCTCTGTGCTGACAGCTCGAAGCCTGGAGCCTGCTTGGGATTCTGTGTCTCCCTCTCTCTCTGCCCCTCACCCACTCACATCCTGTCTCTCTCTCTCTCAAAAATAAGTAAATATTAAAAAGAAATTTAAAAAGAAATGACATTCTTTTGGATTTTTAAATTATATTAAGCCTTCACTGAGCGAATACAATAAATTTCTCTACACATTGTTTCTTGGCTTTTCAAATAAAAATTAAATTGCATGAATGTTATATGAGAAAAAATAGTAGGTACATAAAAAGAAAACAAAAAACTTCTAGTTTGTATCTCAAAAGAATGACATTCTGCTCTTCTTCCTCATATTTCCTTCAATAACATGTCATGTATTTTTCTCTCCCCTTTCAACTTGTCTTTTAAGATCTTTCCACTTTTGTAATTTGGTTAAGAAATGAAAAGGGGTGGGGCGCCTGGGTGGCGCAGTCGGTTGAGCGTCCGACT